TCAGGCTGGTATTGTTGTGGTGGGAAGAAGTTTTACCGCCCATCACCTCCATAGTGACTTTGGTATTGAGGATCCCGGGTGGTTCCTAAAAGCTTTCCCGGACTGGGAAAAAAAGACCAAAACGCTTGGCCTCCCATTGGGTAAGTACAAATAGCATGAACCCTTTAGATGAAAATTAATCAGCAAATAAATATTAATCAGTTATCGGTACTTACCTTTCTTTCAACAGCAGGTGACGGGTATAATCAAGTAATTCCCCACACGCCGGTAGATAGGGGCCAGGGCTCCAAAGCGGGACCCTCCAAAACACCTCCCCGGTCCAGATCGCCGCAGTCGTCTGACGGCCGCTCCCCGCCCAGGAGCCTCTTCCCGACGAACGACGAACTTGAGGCTGACCTGGTCGACCTATCGAAAATGGGGGAGCCTACCTGTAAGTGCAACATCACTTTTTGTGAAGAGGCTTTCATTATCTTATCTGCTATTATCTCACTGTATTTTTCGTCTGCAGCGGAAGAGGAACTCGCTCTGGTTCGCCAAATCATTCAAAAAGCGCGGCGACGAAACTTCCCGCAGTCCGGCTTTGACGGGAGGTTCAGGGGCCAGTGCTGGGTGTGCCTGCTCCCTGTCGATGCCCCCAGGAAGAAGGGTGGGCCGCCGTCCATCCTCCCGCAGTGCTGCAGCCAGAATGTGAAGGACCGGCAGCGCAGCAGCATAGGAAGATTTATCCAGCAAGGTGCCTGGTGCGTGACGGCGCCGGTCCTTGCGTCCTGTCTCAGGCTGATGATCAAAATTGAGAGAGAGACCTTCCTGGACATCATGACACGCCAGGACATTCTTATTGTGGTGCCGTCACGCATTCAGCCCCGCCCCTACAAAAATAAGCCACGTGCTAGTTGGGATATATGCAGGATCACCAGCTTGCCAACTTTCATAGTAGGTACACAACGTTAAGCCTACCGTACCTGATATCGTAAACTTGTACTACTTTGATTTTATCTATAGAACACTCGTGGTGAGGCCGGCTTCTCCCTTGTGCAACCCGACACCGTCGGCCTGAGGCGGCCATTGGGGAGCAGCAAGAATTGCCCGCTCCCAACTTGCAATGCCTCAGTACCTCCGGAGAAGGGCATTGTCAATCATGTGATGGTTCACAAGAACAAAAAGCTGCTGCAAGTCGCTCATGCAATTCAGGCCAACGCCAGGACAATTCCTCAGGACCTTGCTGACGACTTGCCTCTTGCCCCTTCCGCGGGTATCCTTATTCTGCTGAACCTCGCCGGCTTCGTGAGGTTTACAGATGAGTGGGCCTTGCAGCTGTATTAGTGTGCCTTCCAGCTAGAGGCACCCTCCATAGTGCCTAGTGATTGTTCCCTTTTGTGACTTACCCGACCATGGTGCGCAGGGGAGATGCGAGGGCCCCATAGGGTTGTGGCCGAGGAGGCCGCAGCCCCCTTCCACCCACGTGCTGGGGTGGGAGGCGGTGTCGCCTTTGTGGTGAGGATGTGTGATAAATGCTCCTCGTCCATTGGTTCCACTGCCTCCAGAACTTTGTCATCACAGAAGAACGTTTGCCCCTGGTGGGTAGGCGGACCCGTCAAGCTGCTGTGTTGCTGAATTGCCTACCCTGTTTCCTTAATGTGTCTGTGTACCGTTCGTAACCTTTGTCTGCCCCTCTGAGCGTCCGCAAAATTCGGGGGAAGGTCCAGGGCACGTCCAGGGGGTGTGCCCGAGGCGTGCAGGGGTTGAACCGCCCCGGCGGCTCGCCCAGGGGCGCTGGGGACTCTGAACCCGCCGGGTGACGACGGGTGGACACGAGCGCACTCGCGTCCGGGCGTCGTCCCAGAGTGTTGAAAAATCGCCAGAGTCGCTACGATCGTCCGTAAAAATCTGGGAAAATTCAGGGTTGCTCCTGAGGGTCCACCGGAGGCGCCCGGA